AAAAGAGTCAGGAGACTTCAGGTGTGTTTTTCAGACGGCTGCTTTACTTAAAGCTTCACATTACACATCCAGAGTGTTGTTACATGTGTCAACACTCTCCAACATAGCCCCAAGACACTGCCTAGCAGGCACAAGTGTTATTACACTGAACCTCAGTACAAAATATGGAAAGAATACAATAAAGATTTGTAGAAAGAAAGAGGATTAAAAGATTAAAAGAAGACTTCAAGAGGGGGACGATTCAAAGGCAGTGTGCAGATTCAGATTCTGTGTGAAATATGTACTCATCATTCAGATCTTTTTCAGCATACCAGCACTGTCAGTGAAAGTAAAATGGCCTGTTATATGCAGCTTCTTTCATTCATTCATTCAAAAAAGTAACACTATAGTTACTTTTCCAGGTAATTAGTTACTTTTATAGTGCAGTAACTCAGTTGCTAACTCAGTTACTTTTTGGGGAAAGTAAAGAGTAACTATAACTGATTACTTTTTTAAAGTAACGTTCCCAACACTGAATCTTAACAGCTGAGAACTAGCTCAAGCAGGTTGCTGATGACCTGGTGGGCTTTAAATGGTTTTATACATCCTAGAAACTTCTACACAAATGAACTGCTTCACAGTGTCATGGCGACCAGACCCGGCATTTTATTTAGACTTGCATTTATCTGTCAAAACGTGTCACCACACCTGGCTGCTAAAAGGGACTGTTTCATTGGAGCTCAGCTTTAATTAAAGTTTTATGGTAATTCTCAAATACAGATTTTTTTTCTCAATTACGCAAAGCCTCCTCTTGTGCATGCATGTATGTCTGTGTGCACATTAATTAAAACAAGTGCTTAAACCCTCTTCCAGACTATTGAAACTGCTCTGTAGTATCTAAATAATGAAAATGTTTGTGTGTGCCGTCTAAAATGTCCGACCTGTCTTTACAAAGATGCTGATGCTTTGCACTGCGTGTGAGTGTTGTCTCTCAGGAAGCAGACCAACTAGCAGCTGATTCAAACCAGGGTCTAAAGACAATCTAAGCACCAAAAGGCCGCAACAGTAAGGCATTCCTCACCTGACTGCTCTCATACTTTTAGCTGAGGCAGGAGCACTGTCAACACGGTTTGTTTACTTCGGCTCTGAGTCACAGAGAGAGAGAGAGAGAAAGAGACACACACACACACACACACACACACACACACACACACACACACACACACAGATCATAATCCTGCAGAAAGACATCTGTAGCCCTCCACACGTTAGCTGGCATTATCGCAGTGCAGCAGCCTTCTGTGAGCTTTACACCACTACCACCGCTATTACACAGGCTTACCTCTCTCTCTCTCTCTCTCTCTCTCTCTCTCTCTCTCTCTCTCTCTGCCCCAATCTGGGATCATTAGTGACATTCCAAGTGCCTCACCTTCAGTTTGATCTCCATGTCCGACAATCTGACATCTAAGTAAGGGAACCAGACAGTATCTAATTTTTCATATCTTCCTGGAATTTCACAGAGATATTTGGTATATGACAGTATTTGTGTGTGCCCCTAGTATTGGTATCACTTCAAGGGTACTGGTATTACTACTGGTATCATACTTTTTTAAATGATACCCTGCCTTCGAAACTACCGACGAGGTAAACATCCATGATATTGTAACATTCTATACAATGTATGGTACTCAGTGCTTGAAAATGAGTTGTCCTCTGTCCCTTTTACCTGCCTTATCGGAATACTTTCCAATTTTTTCCCTTTGCAAAATAAACATCTGAAGGGGGTATTACAATTCTTCTAACAGACCGCTATGTTGGGAACACTTGACTCCACAGCTGATTGGTTCATTTGTTAACACTAACATTGCTTGTAAACTCTGCCTACTTAAAATGACTGCTGAGGACCAGTTTATCCTAAAGACAAAAGCTGTAGAACACTGTTTCCCACAGTCAAGAACCTACCCAGTTGAGACCCTACCTATGGAGCCATTCTTCAGTCACCATTGGTCCTTGTGGCATGTGACCCTGTGATGTCACCAGGTCAACAAAAAAAAGCAACTTCCCACTCTCCCTTTCTCTTTCTCTAGGGACTGCCAGCAAGGAGGGCCACTGCTGCTGGAGGACCTGCCTGCCCCTCCTCCACTTCTCCTCACTTCTCTGCATGCTTACAGCAGAAAAGACCCTCTGATCACATCACCACATGTAGTCTGCTCAAAGCAGACACAGAACAGAGCTCTAATTGGTAGAAGTGACTAGACAGGTAAGTGTCTGCAGCAGACACAAAGTCTGCAAGCTAACAAGCAACAAGGAGTAATAAAACCAAGTTAATGGTGAGCTGCTCACGAGACAACTCACGTGAGTGAATTACATGTAAAGTCAATGTAAAGACACGATTTGATACAATTTCCTGCCAGGCAGCGCAATGGACCTGATGGACACAACAAGAATGACGTGAAATAAGAAAATTAAATGGTGCGAATGAAGCTATTAGCACAATTTTGCATCATACGATTATTCGCGAGAGTTGAAAAATATGAACTTCAGAGACCACTTCACGCCGCAATAGCCAATCAGCATTGAGATCCTTCGCGCAATGGACCTGATGGACACAACAAGAATGACGTGAAATAAGAAAATTAAATGGTGCGAATGAAGCTATTAGCACAATTTTGCATCATACAATTATTCATGAGAGTTGAAAAATATGAACTTCAGTGACCACTTCATGCCGCAATAGCCAATCAGCATTGAGATGCTCCGTGTATGTATGACACAGAGGATGTACTGGCAGAAGTTTATTCATTAATTCAGCGATTTCAGGCGCATGTGACGCGAGTTATTCCCGTGTATAGAGCAAGTCAACACAAAATATTGGGAATTGTTTGCTGGAGGCCGTACCAAGCTGCGAGTCCTTAACAAAACTGTTTGCTTAGAATACATGCACATACATTAGTTTCCATTCAGCTGAAAAGGTATTAAGAAGCTACATGGTTAGCTAGTTAGCTAATGTAGCAAACAAGTCTCTGTTTTCATAAGAGTAAAAGATTAGGACATTGTTTATTAACTTTTCAGCATATCTGTCAGAGTTTAAAGTGACTAGTTGTATTAAATTAGGTTTTGTGGTCTCAGTTTTTTTGAGATGAGAAATCTATTTGAGATTTTAACACTTGATCCAACCTGTCATCTTGATTCCACTTTCTGATACCTGTATTAGCCTAAGTGAATTAATTTAAACAAAGAAAAATATTTTTGACTAAAAGTAATGTCTAAAAGCGAAATAATATGATGTCATCGACCCAAACATTTTTTTGTTGTTGTCGACGAAAACTAGACTAACACTATGAAAAATAAAAACTAATAACCATTTTGTCTAAAGACTACTACTTAATACAAAATTGCTGCCAAAATTAGACGAATATGCATGTGGTATGTCAGGGCCCTGATACTCCTAATCATCATCTCAATGTGACTGAACTAAACCTAAAGCCAAAACAATGAGTCCAATTAGGTGGAGAAATAATGTTCTAGTATCAAAAGCATAAAGCTGGTTTCCACATGGATAAAAGTACACAAATACCCACATATATAATAAAAAAATCGAACAGAGTCCTCCTTATTCCAGCAATTTGTGCACACAGTTTAAGAAAAAAAAACACACTTTCTGTCTCCAAAACAAATTGTCTATGGTGGGAGTGGGCAGCTCTGGTGTAAACAAGTTATGTAAATACAGGGTATATGCAGGAATCCTGAGGTTAATTTCAATACCTTTTTAAGACTTTTTTAAGACCTTCCAAAAAAACCTTAAGACCACATCGCCACTTCAAGCTGTCGTTAGCAGCACCGCATCTTTAACTTACTAAACAGTTGTAGTTTGCAATTAAATCAATGGAGCACAAACATACAACAGAAATCAGATAAAATGAAAAGGAATAAAGATTGAAAGAATAAATTAAACCAAAGGCAGGTTTATTAAAATACACCTTAGGTCATAACAAGTAACACAGCTCTACAACTCAACATCAGCTATTCAAGGACAACTTGCTGAAAACAACAACCTTATGGCTAGCCCCTTGCATGTGGGATTTAGGGCTGACCCAAAAAAAATTGAAGCTTCGTTCGATGGCACGGGATTCGATTGTGGAAAAAAAAATAATCGAATATTCGGCCTTGTTGTTTTTTTTCCCCTTTAGCCATATGTAAACTCAAAGAACAAGATGCAATGTCTGTTAGGCATATAAGATTTCATGATCCAGTTCCAGTTTGTGTTTTTAATTGATTGATTGTTTTTGGTTGGTTATTAAAAAAGAAAACATCTCCGACAAGGAAATAGAAAGCCCGACGTGCAATGAATGGATTCTATTATCCTGCTTGAACACAGACGACTAAATTCTTTCAACAATGTGACTCAAAATAATGATAAAATAGATTTTATTGACGTGAAATAATATGCTGATAGTGACATTTTCCACCAGTCTGCTGCGCTCTGAGTCTGGTGTCAGTGACACATGCTGCTCTGAGTGGCGCATCTGTCTGCTTGCGCTGCAGTGCGCGCCGAGGGTTTTAATTTTTAGTGTTAAATCAAAAGTTAAACACTACTTATCAGCAACCAGAAGTGTTTTTTCATTTGTGAATATTTTTATTTTAATTCTAGGGTTGCAAGAAACTACCTTTTCGCCATAATTTGTAAGTTATTAACTTTTTTGGCCATTGGCAGTCTGAGTGTGCCTACCTACACATCGTTGTTTGTAATAGGTTAGTCGCGAGGAGGAAAATAAATTATACATTCATGGATACTTTTTGTCAAAGCTTGAATGCCAAGAAAATTTATTACTTCAAAAAATCGCGATTAGGACTTTTTAATACTTTTTAATGGCCTTAATTTATCAACTTTTAATAGGCTACTTTTTAAGACCTCGCGGACACCCTGAAATAAAAAGCCAAGCATCTCTCGCCTCATAAATCAGGATATGAAAAAAAAAAACAAGCTAAACATACACAAAACAAAAACACTGTGTGCTTACTAGATGAGGGGCTTGCGGCACAGCACCAGGGCGTCGTAGAGCACACACACTCCGAACACAGTGATGCCTGTCTCCTTGACCAGCATGGCGCAGGTGCCCAGCAACAAAGTGAGGAGCAGACACAATGCTGACACTGCGGAGGGCAGAGAGTCCTCTGAGTAACACACACCCACACTCCTGAGAGACAGAGACAGAGAGAGAGAAGGTAGGACAAGGGTGATTCATAATGTTAGACTCAACCCAGTCACAGACAGAGGATGACAGGAGGACAAGACACTCACTGTTCATTTAGTAATACAGTCACATTGTGGCATGATTAAAATTAGTAAAATAGACTGCGTCATTATGTTAACTATAGGCTACAAATAAGAAATGACACATTCAAATGTTCATATTCAGGGTTCAGAAAAAGTAACTTTCGCATTTGTGCAATAAAATAAACCTAATCACAGATACAAGCGCTGTTAAAAAGGTAGTCATAGGCTGAATGCCAATTGGTAACATTTGTCAGAAAAAAAGGGCTGTAACTTATTATTAACGCTATTAATTACCCTTATCATTAGTGTTAATTTTGTTGACGAAAACTATGACAATTTTTTTGTCAGTGACCTTTTTTCGTGACAAAAACAAGACAATGACAAGCTAAAACTAGATCTTGATAATAAAAACTAAGATTAAATCTATGACAAGACGAGACTCATGAGCTCAACAGCCGTTGGTGCGAGTTGTGAGCTGTAATTCAGCAGTAAATAATCAGCAGTGTGTGTCTGACTGTGGATGGTGGAACTGATGAATGGATTTGTGGAGTTTGTTAGTTGCAGCGGTGGCTGTTAGCAGTTAGCGCCACTTGTTAGCCGATAAACAGCAGTGGAGCGAGCAGTCACCGACCGCCATACTTCACAGCTGATCCCTGCAGGATTCCACTCAGTCCGGACTCAGGAAGGTTTATGGGTTGATGCAGTTTGACAGGCAGGTAGGAGGTTCAGTTATCTGTGAGCGTAGCTGTGCTGTAAGTCAACAGCCTGAACTTGGATCAGTTTTCTCTGACAGAGATGAAAGTTTAGTTTTAATTACCAACTCTGTGAGGGGACAAGAGTTTAAACCCCCAGACTAACATGTTGCTTATTAAGAAAAATTCAGGCTATAATTTAATCATTTTCTCTGCTTCTTAACAGTGAGATGGTTAAGTCAGAGTTTCCAGTGAACCTGGGTACAAATCCTAGTTGTCTCAGATTAGGCTATTTGTGGCATCAAAGTTTTTGAGAGCATAAACAGAGTGATGTTGAGCTTTTCTAATGATGATCAGTGAGTGTGTGCTCAACCCTTAAACCTGTCAAAAACTGCCGAAGAAATGACAGTTTGTGGGGGACTTCCGGTTGGGCGAGCGAGGCGATGGCGGCGTAAGAAAACAGGCTCCCGACATTTTGAGTTAAAGTTACCCACTACAACTCGAATAGTTTTAAAACTTTAAGTACAGGCCGTCTTAGCATTGTGGGTCTCGAGGATGCCTAAATTAAAGCCAAAAAAGTCAACGCAGTCAGTGTTGCTTGAGTGAGATGAAGTTAGCCAGGAGCCCCCGGCTAGCAGCATAATGGAGGACAACGACACGCAATCGGACAACGACGAGGAGCTGGCGGAAGAAGCGGGCCTGGGTCTTATATTGAAAGAACTGAGGGAGTTTAGGAGAGATAGCAGTCAGCAGCTGAAAGAGATTCAAGAGGATATAAACAAAACTAACACAAGAATCGAGGAGGCTGAAAAAAGGATCAACACCGCCGAAACTCGGATACAAGTGACACAAGAAGCGGTTACGGAGCTGCTGAGGCTACAGATTCACCTGGATGAAAAGCTGACGGATTTGGAGAGCCACTCCAGGAGAGAGAGAACATCAGAATCCACGGAGTTAAAGAGGGGGCCGAGGAGGACTCTCCATCGATGGTGGAATACGTGGAGCACTTGCTCCAGAGGGGTCTGGGGCTCCAGGACTCCTTTGAGCTGCGGGTGGAGAGAGCCCACCGCGCCTTGATGCCGAAGCCGCCATCAGGAGCTCCACCAAGGTCAATTGTGGCCAAACTGTCAAGCTACAGGATGAAAGAGGAGATATTGACACTGGCCTGGCAGAAGCGCGGATTTCAACTTCACGAAAAAGGGTTAATCTGGACCACGACTATGCGCCTGATGTGTTGAAAAAACCAAGGGAATATGCCGATGCAAAGTCGGTGCTGAAGGAGAAGAAAATCAGATTTCAGACTCCGTTCCGGCCCGGTTAAGAGTTTTTTACCCAGAGGGGATGGTTCTGTACGGATCAGCGGAGGAGGCGACCGAGGACATGGCAAAGAGGGGGTTCCCAGTGTCAGTTATTAAACACCCGGAGTCTCTTTTGGAGCAGATACAGCGGTTCACGTGGCGCACGAGCAGGAGAGAAGCTGCAGGCCTTTAGGCGCGTGGATCCGATGTAACTGTCAGAGAACTGTAAATCACGTTTTGGTGGAAAAAGGGGTGAGTTTCTGTTGTAATTAGGGGACGCCGAGGACCCGGCTCCCAGCAGAGGGAGGACAGACTGCAAACAAGAATTGCACATTATAAGAACATTTTATAGGCCATAACTAAGAATATAATGTAAATGTCGGGCCTTTGTTTTTCTTTTTGCCATGTAGACGGATGATCAATAGTATGTACAAACTGTTACAAGGGACTGAGGGCCCTCACATACCGGCTGATGGGGGAGGCTCTCCCTCAAAGCCCTCTTGCCATGGGGGCTTAATTAGGGTCAAGATAAAGACCTCACTATTGGAAGTCTTTATTTCAGATGTCATTGTTTTTTGTGTGTTATTCCCCACTAAGGGGCGTGCTGTTCTTTGCAGCCTTTGGGGTGTTACCTGTGATAAATCTAACAGTGAATATTCGTGTTGTTATGTGAAGGGGCCTTTTTTTTTCTTCTTCTTCTCTTTACTGGACACTAAATGCAAGCAGTCAAAATAGTAACTTATAATGTGAATGGTCTAGTCAATCCTATTAAGAGAAGCAAGATTTTGACCAAACTAAAAAGAGACAAAGTTGAGGTGGCTTTTCTACAAGAAACGCATCTTTCTGATACAGAGCATGCTAAATTAAAAAGAATGGGCTTTAAGTATCAGTTCTCATCATCATATGCAGCTGGCCATAGAAGGGGGGTGGCAATATTAATTTCCAGTAAGATTAATTTTGAGCCCATATTTGAAAAGAAGGACACAGAAGGGAGATACATTTTTTTGAGAGGGAATTTAAATGGATCATTGATAACTTTATTGAATATTTATGCTCCCCCTAATTCGGATTGGAGTTTTTTTAGACAAATATTTGATTTGATAATAGCAGAATCTCAAGGTGTCTTAATATGCGGGGGGGATTTCAATATTAGATTAAGCCCTAAACTTGATTCTTCAAAAGTACATGTTACTCAGCCCAGTCAA